ATTCACTCATGATTCGTGTCCTAAATTTTGACCCCTACCGAGCTTCCATACTAGGCACTTCCGGAAGATTTGAAAACCCAGGTGATCAATGGCAACATGTCCTCTATCATCGCTGAAAATATCAGCACTCTAGCTTTAATCGTTTTTGAGTTCCATTGCAGACAAGGAGGTCCTCTGAATTTTGATTAAAGGGCGATAACTTCCGACCGGAAGTGAATTTCAAAAAAATGAAAAAAACGTATAAGGTTCAGACAAAGATAAATCTTCCCTGAAATTTTCAAGTAAATCGATCGAGCCAACTCCAAGAAATCTTCTGCACAAAAATTGTAAAGAAAAAAAAAGAATAATAGTAATAAAAGTGAAAAAGAAACAATAGAATAATAGAAGGGTCTTCCGTTGGAGACGGAAGACCCTAATAATAAAAGTGAAAAAGAAACCTAAGAATAACAAGAAGGTCTTCCGCTGAAGACGGAAGACCTTAACTAGAAACTCATTGCGAGCAATGAGAGGTCTTCCGTCCGATTCTGGAAAAAAAAACAACGAAGATTCAAGCTGAAAAAGTGATAAAAGAAATTCAGACATCCTGGAGATTTAACCCTGGTCGTCAGCGTAAAAATCCAACGTGCTAACCATTAACCATTCACCTTTTTGCATCACTTCCTGTCACGATCGGAAGTAACGGTGATACAAGATTTTCTCACGATTCAAATAAACTGATGACTGACTATCAGTCCTTAAAGCTTTAAACTTCAGTCCTTTATTGTCGCCGAGCAATATTGTGAGAACAAATTCTAATTTTGAGGTCAGGTAAACACGCGACCGGAAGTGAATTTTATAAAAATCTCTGACATTTCTCTAGACATTTGCAGTATCTACAACATACATAAAATTATTTCAAGTACTTTATCGATAAGCAATATTTATGGGAAAGTTAAATATCAAAATAACGTAGTTTATCTCCTAAAACCGGAAGTTGGCGTTTTTGTTTCCGGTGGAATCAAACGTATTTCAAAACAGTGAAAGAGATGCAATGAAGTTATGCAAGTTTTAATTTAAAAAAAAGAAAAGTTAAAATTTTTGATTTCTTTGATCACTTCCTGTAGCAAGCGGAAGTGACAACTGACGCGTTTAACCCAAATGATTTCGCCTACTTCTCAAGGTCTATTACTCATAAAAACTTGGTGTTTTAATCTTTTACCAGTTTTTGAGATCTCGAGCAGAAATCTTCTCATTTTAAGGACAGGAAAACATGCGACCGGAAGTGAACTTTTGAAAGATATTTAAGTTTACTCTCGACATTTGCAATCTGAATAACATATTTAAAATTCATTTCAAAAACTTTATCTATAAAGAATATTTATGGGAAGGTAAAATACTCAAATGATGTAGTTTTTCTCTTATAACCGGAATGTATAGTTTCGGAGATCACTCACGGACAAAAAAGTACCCAGGAAGAAAAATAATAATAACTAGACGAGCTTGTTGCAAAGCAACAAATAAGTCTTCCGTCTTAATTTCAAGGAGATGAGATCGAGATCGAGAGATCGAGAGACATCTACGGTCATATGAGCAAGAATGAGCCATTTACCATTACTTCCGGTGTGACAGGAAGTGACGTCATTTTGACGACTTTTGATGATCTCCTTAGCTGCTACTTGTCGTTTTCAACAACTTTGCTTCTATGATGCTACACAAATTCTCAATACTTTTTGAGATATCAGGAAAACACTTTTGGCCCCTCTAGTTCCCTAATTTTAGGGGCCAGCCCCTTATTGTTGATATCCTTTGAAAGATCGTAACATTCTACACAACTTTTGTTCTATATGTTTTAACAAAATATTTACAGGTAAAAAGATATTGTAGAAAAAGTGTTAGAAATTTTAAAAATCCCGATAGGACATTTTTCGGGCCATAGCGAGCGCCGACGTGCGGCACTTCTGGGGAAAAAGAAATGCGTATAATGCTCTATCATCGCTGAAAAATTTCATGTTTCTACCAGGAAGCGCTTTTGAGGAAGCTGCCGGAAAGCGGAACCGGAACTGACGTTATCAAAACAAAAAAAATACACATCTAGATTTTTTAATGATCTATCAGACCTGTAAGTTTCATGAAAATCGAACTAGCCGTTTCCGAGAACTCGCGTGCACAAAATCGGTAAGAAAAAAAACAATACTAATAATAACAAAAAATAGTGGAAAAGAAACCTAAGAAAAACAAGAAGGTCTTCCGCTGAAGACGGAAGACCTTAATAATAACTAGAGCAAAGCTCGTTGCAAAGCAACGAGTAGGTCTTCCGACGGACGACGGACGTCGAAAGTATTATATTTAGAGTTTTTATCCGAAAAATGATAAAATTTAGGCAAATTTCTATAAAATGGACCGAAAAAATCATTTTTAAAAAAAAAACTTCGGCTTTCAATTCGGGACTTTTTCGGCCGTAATGACGTCACTTCCGGTTGACGTCGAAAGTCTCAAAGCCATAAAAAATCTTAATACTCAATTACAAACCATTTTATATCATTTCTAATGATTTTAAAGGAAAAGCTTTATTTTTCTCGACTACTTCCAGTTTAAACCGGAAGTATTTTCAATGGATGGTTTTTGTTGTCGATTATACATTTGAACTTTATTTCTACATGCCTTAATGCAAAACTGTTCAATTTTTTTAAAAATCCGTAAATTAAATATCACTTCCAGTGTCGACCGGAAGTGACGGATGCAAAAACAAAAGTCGTTATACACATCTTAGAGAGATGTTCTATCACCTCTGAAAATATCATGATTCTATCTTGAGTCATTTTTAAGAAGAAGCATGGACAAAATGATAATTTAAAAAATGAAAATCGGATAAAAAAAATGCAACCGGAAGTGATTTTCCAAAAAAAAAAAAAAATGGTCTGGAGATATTATAATGATGTATCATCCCTGAAAAAAACTTTGAAATTGGTCGATTAGTTCCCGAGAAATCGCGTGTACTATGAAAAGGGAATAATAATAATAATAGGAAACAGAAGAAAAACAGTAAGGTCTTCCGAAGGAAGTCAGAAGACCTTAATAATAATAAGAAACAGAGTAGAAACAATATGTTCCCAAACTTCGTTTGGGGAACATAATAAGCCTACAAGATGTACAAATATTGATCATTTTTGATAGTATTTCAAGTAATGCAAATGAATCATCTGAGTAACAATCATCAGTTATTGATGGTGGTCACAACATCATAGAAGTCTAATTGTAAAAATAAGTGAATCCTCATTTGTTTGAAATTTTTGTTCTCCACAAGGGGTTTTACCATGGCGGCCCGCCATGGTTAAATTGATGTGCGCCATGGTTAAACAAGCTGCGCCGTGGTTAAAATCGACGACCGCCATGATTAATTTTTTCTTGCATTTCAGTTTTGACACTTTATTTTTAATGACCTGAGTAGTTAATACAAATACAAATACAAATATTTTATTGGCACAAACACAATTACAGTAAATGGTAATGGCCCATACAGAACATATTAATAAGCATAATAATACAGTAGAACACAACTAGAATACAAACAATTGGTGTAGCAAATAATGTAGTGTACTCATCCGATACTAAATAATTCATAACAATGTAGATACTCATTTATAGCTAAAACATTTTTTCTAATATCAGATATTTGATATAAAAATGAAGATAATATTTTAAGAATCCTTTTACACCTTGTTTTCATCAATGATTTTAACAAATTGTCATTATTATGGATTGTTTGGTTGAAATTAGGGAAAGTAGATAATTTTGTTTTGAATACTTTTCTCTGTGCTTCATATTTCGGACAGAGCAAAATGAAATGTTTTTCATCCTCAATATCAAGGTTTTGACAAACTTTACACAAACACAACCTATCATTTTTATTAATTTCAACATATCTACCTTTTTCAATTTCTAAATTATGTGCACTTAACCTAATTTTTGCTACAAAAGATCTATCATGTAGTGACTCTAGTTTGTCAACATAATGTGCACGTTTATTATTAAAACAGAAGTTTCGATAAAATGATAGTTTAGAGGAGTTCATAAAACTTGCATAGTACTTGTTAATTGTGTTTATACTACGACTGGCATGCACCTCGAGAGAAAGCGGACTGTGCTAAACAAACACAGTCGTTGATCGGAAATGTACCTGTATACCGTGAAGTGTGACAACTGAGAGTCAATCAGCTGATTATCAATATCTTTAGAGTTAATTTTCCTGTACACATGTAATTTCCTATCCCCTTGTATTTAATTTTCAAATTCCTCTTGCTCCGTTTTAAATTATTAATTTGTTATCTTTCAGACAAAATGGACACGAACTCCAATCACCAAGTATAGGTTATAGAATTACCTCCCGTTTTACGAAGCGTCGTGTGGCGCTATTTTTAGCACTGGAGCACATGGAGAAGTAAACAATGAAGGAAAATCAGCGAAAAATGCAGTGTAGAAAAGGGGGAGGGGGAGTTTAGAAAAGACATAACAGAGAAAGCACTGTTACAGTTATCTCAAATTTATGCCCCTGGTTATAATTAAAACTTTTGATACTTATACCATCAATAAGTTTTCGAAGACCATGCAGTTGAAAAACTCAGGCAATGTTTATATGCCTGTGCTTGTTCGTTTGTGTCTCTGTAACACCCCCCCCCCTACCCCCCACCCCAAATATAAGATCTACTCCTTCATCATCTTCACTGTAAAAAGGAAGAAAAGGAATATATCAATAAAAATTTTCTTCTTAAGAACAGCAATGCTAATATGTATCATATTAATTCAAAAGCATCCTTCGAAAGTGTAGAATTCATACCCCCCCCCCCTTCCCTCTGAACCACTTTTATATATAAACTTTTAAATACTGAACTGATTTATGCTTTTTCCTACCCAAAGTGCTCAGATGAGCAATGTGGCCCCTAGGACTCTTGTTTATTGTTGGTCTTGTAAGTGAAATCAGAATGCAATACAGTGTAGTAACTGTACATAATATATTATTTCAGAGAGAAGAAAATTGACATTAAAGGAGAACCAGTAACTAAAGATGTATGATGAATCAAGATGTGATCATGTGGTAAGTGGTAATTAATTCAATCATAAATAGGCATGTATGACAATTGCATTAAAAGAAAAGAACTTGATTCCAATTTTAATTGGAATGTTGAACTACCAGCTGCAAACTACAAAAGGTTAGGCATAATAAAAAAAAAAATGTTTGTTTACGCCCCTCCCCCCCCCCCCCCCAATATCTAATAGCCAACCCAATTTTTTTTTCATTGTAAAAATCCGTAAGTCACTCATTCGTCAGTTTAACTTTTACATGCATCTTAATCGGTCAAGCGTTTGAATCGAAAGTACTAGAAATAGTTACGCAGATATGTTAAGGCTTCCCGAAGTTTTAAAATGCGCTAAAAACATAATATGTCATTGCCAGGTCGGTTTTAGTTTTAATTTATAAGTATTGAACTTAAGTACACCCAATTTATATAGAGGGTTTCCTCGGCTATATATTAACATATTTGTTATGATATCACATGACTTTGTTGATCACGTGACGGTCATTTATAATTTTTTGAAGTGTTCCATATAAATCGCTTCGGCGCAGCTGATTAACACAATAATTATTAACATTTTGTTATATTAATAAACTCATCGTATCCTTGTGTATCCGAAATGTGCTTGGGAAAAGTCATAGTATTACTTAGATACAAAATATTTCCTGAGAAATTCAACTTACCTACAAATTTGAGTGTATTTTCCACACAATATTGTAATCGGTATTAAAACAAAGCCAACACACATTTTTCCCAAGCAAGATTCGGTTAGAGAACAACCTCTTCTTACAGATTTCCACAAAAATTCTCAGATTAATCCTCATTAATCACCTGCGCCAGACTCTTTTATACACACAAAATAAATTCTACCTCCAACCACGGGTATAAAACAGAGTACATTTCAAAAGTATATTTTTCATAAGCATTTTGAACATGCTGAATTTCAATCAATGGTAGGTAAGCGGTGTATTTTTAAAATATTCGGACATATTAAACTTTAAAAAACCTTTAATGACCCGTGAATTTTGCAATAGCTATCTAGCATTTTACATGCAGTTTGAAATAAAGTTTTAAGTTCATGACACTCTCCCCGTCATAACACCTCAAGTTTGCAGTGACTTGACGTCATTTTCCATTATGACGTCATATTTTGGTAGTTCAGAGATGTGAAGGCACAGAGTGCACTGTGATATTCTACGGGAAGCCTTAACCTACCTGCGTAGTGCAACATGGAGTTAAAGAAGAAATACAAGACAGTTTTTTTCATTGTGTGGTAGCTGTAAGGCAGTTGGCAAGAAAGATATTGTCTATCGCCTATATTGCAAGCCCTAACAGAAGTAAAGCACCACACAATGGTAAAACTGTTTTGTATTTCAACCAATTCATGTGAATTTGTGTATAAAAAAATTCAATAAAATAAAAAAAATCCTACCTACCAACCCTATTTTATTTCAGCATGTAACAGTAAACAGTAAAACAGTAAAAAAAACTTATTTTTTTGTTTGGCCTTATGATATTGTATGGCTTGGAGTCTTTTTCACTTCTCTATAAAATTTTCTGTCTGGATGATATCTAGCATAATATACACCATGCAGTGAGGATTTTAGTTCACCCGAGCTAAAAACTCGAGTGAACTTTTCTGATCACCTTTTGTTTTGTCTTTTGTCCATCAAACTGTCGATCCATCAGTGAGCTTTTCACATTTTCAACCTCTCCTCAAGAACCACTAATTTTAACCAAGGTTGACACAAAGAAAGGATATTTTAAATTGTACAGAGGAAGCCCCCTCCCTCCCCCCTTTTCACCCCAAGAGGAAATGATCAGCTCTTTCAGATATAATTGATATGATCATTGTTGAGCAACTTATAATTTTGTATCCTGTAGACTTTATTTTAAGAATAATGAATATTTGTTTAAGAGTCCTTTTGTCAAGGTTCAAAGTTCAATTAAAATTATTTTGTGGTACATGTATTTGAGGATTCGAGATATCAGGAGTAAAATATTTAAAGAATACTTCCAAATTACTTCGACATATCTATGGTATTAGAGATGCCAAAGTTCAGCTGTATGGCTATGCTAAGGTAGTAAATATTATAACTTACTGAAACTTTCTAACATTGAAATATGTTAAATGAAACAAGACAAAAATGAAAAATAAAAAATTACTGGTTTCTGGCTGGTCAGTATTTTGATGACTGTAATTTCTAAAATATTCAATGAAACACTTTGAAGCTTTAACTGTAGGTATATGTTAACTTAATATACTATAAGGTAATGTTCATAAATGAGAAATTTTGAACAAACATTACAACATGCATGTATGTAAATTTGGGTTATAAATTGGTTACCGGTAATGGCTATCACCTTAATTTTCAATGACATAAAACAAGATTTAGAATGTAGGTAAATAATACTAGTATGTGTCTGTACATATGATATAGCATATAGAACTTGTACTGAATGTTGATTAGCTAAATCTTGAATGGCTGATATGTTGGTCGTTTGTGATGAAATTTAGATTATTTGTATGTAAACTGAGTGTACATGCAACATGAAATTATTCATAAGGTATTAAACATGATTAAAACATGTGTATGCAATGCAACATATGATGAATTCATATTGACTTGTATGGATGTAGCTTAACATGTATGTGCATTGTTTTTTAGGGTCCTGTTCTGCAGATGCCATGAGATGATCTGTCTGTCCATCTGATATCACTTGTCCTGAGTATATTTTTTCTCCTCTTAGCCCGATCTCACTCAAATTTAACTCATAGAGTGCCTGTGGATAGAGGGTAAAAAGTGACCTTGGACCAATTATCAAGGTCGAAGGTCAAAACACACTATATATCTTTATTTAAAGTCCTTGTCCAGAGCATAATTTTTCTCCCTTGGTATGATCTGGCTTGTGTTAATGATCTTTAACAAAATTTCTAGGTCAAATGTCAATATGAAAAAAAAAAGATTTGTAATATCCTTGTCCAGAGCACATTTCTCCAATTCACCCAACTAAAAGCAGTGTTCTACATGTACGAGATGGTCACATTCTCAATCATACCTGCTTTAATATTAATCTGGATTAAAATCTTACTATGTAATGTTCATTATTCGGATTTCATGTCATTAAATTTAAAGACTGAAACTAACTAGTTATAATTGTAACGGGGACCGTTACAGATGTTCCCCAAACGCTCCCCAACACCCTTTTGGTGTCTTATTTCCTGTAAGCTTCATTAAAAAGGCAATTTAGTATATTGGTCGTTTTTTGCATTACACGAGCGCGCACGTGCATGCATTTGCAGGATGACCATGTCATCCCGTCTATACTGTTAATGCATCTTTATATTCTCAGTATCAAATTTAAACATTTCATCAAAAATATGTAAGTTCCGGCTATATCAAGTATATAGGTCATCTTAGCATTGCGCGCACGCGCACCTGCATTCATGTTCATAATGACCATGCCATCTTGTCTAAACTTATAATTTGTCTGTTTATTCTTAGTATCAAAGCTTTTCATCAAAAAATATAAAAGTTACGGCTATATTAAATATATTGGTCATTTAACACATTGCACGCGCGCATTTGCATGCATGTGCATGATGTCCACATCATCTTGCCTACACTTTTAATATATCTGTATATTCTTAATATCAAAGCTTTTCATCAAAAAATATAAAAATTACGGCTATATAAAGTATATTTGTCATATAACACATTGCACGCGCGCGCACGTGCATGCATATGCATGCATGTGCGTGATGACCTTGTCATCTTGTCTACACTTCCAATTAATATAAATATTTTGAGTATCAAAGCATTTCATCAAAAAGAATATAAGTTACGACTATATCAAGTATATTGGTCATTTTACGCAATGCACGCGCACGCACGTGCATGCACGTGCGCGCAAAATGACCTTCGTTCCGCAAATCTACATAACATGCCTAGTTACCCTAAAAAGGTCTCACCTCAATCGGATGAGTAGTTTACGAGATCACTCACGGACAAAAAAGTACCCAGGAAGAAAAATAATAATAACTAGACGAGCTTGTTGCAAAGCAACAAATAAGTCTTCCGTCTAAATTTGAAGGAGATGAGATTGAGATCGAGAGACTTTTACGGTCATATGTGCAAAAAATGAGCCATTTACCATTACTCTCGGTGTGACCGGAACTGACGTCATTTTGACGACTTTTAATGGTCTCCTTAGCTGCTACCTATCATTTTGAACAACTTTGCTTCTATGATGCTATACAAATTCTCAATACTTTTTGAGATATCAGGAAAACACTTTTGGCCCCTCTAGCTCCCTAATGTTAGGTGCCAGGCCCTTATTGTTGGTATCCTTTGAAAGATCGTAACATTCTACACAACTTTTGTTCTATATGTTTTAACAAAATAATTACAGGTAAAAAGATATTATAGAAAAAGTGTTAGAAAATTTAAAATTCCCGATAGGACTTTTTTCGGGCCATAGCGAGCGCCGACGCGCGGCACTTCCGATAAAAATGAAACGCCTTCCGCATATCTACAGAGAAAGATCTACCATACCTGAAAGTTTCATGTTTCTAACTAAAGCCGTATATGAGAACATCTGCGGACAACCCGACCCTTCGAAAACCACTAAATCGGCAATATCTCCGGACCGGAAGTGACGTCATCAAAACAGAAAAAAACGCATAAGGTTCAACTGATGTTACATATGTCCTGAAAGTTTCATGGAAATCCAACGAGCCGTTTTCGAGAAATCGCGTGCACAAAATCGGTAAGAAAAAAAAAACAATAATAACTAGAGCAAAGCTCGTTGCAAAGCAACGAGTGGGTCTTCCTTCTTAGCTTGTAAGTTGACGTCGTAATAAAAGGATAAATATTTGTTTAATTTCCACCTAAAGGTTACATGTTTCTGTTTAGATTGTCAACTTTGCTAACATTCTCTTTCTTCTTTGACCAAAATATCAAGAGACCTCATCTCCTGAACTCTGAATCTGGAGTGAGCATGAGGATATACAATTCAACTGTACTCTCTCCAACAGTACTCCTGATTCCTGAAATTGTATCCAAAACACTAATACTCCCAGACCCTCATTTCTTGAACTTTGACTTTTGATTTTTAATTTCTAGACTTTTCTATTCATCTAACATCTCTGATGCAATCATGTTAGTAACATCTGTCATACTACAGAATCATCAGTGTTTTGCTACATCACTGTCATAATAATTGCTTGACAAAACATTTACACAGCATAACTACATAGTAAGTAATCCAAATGTGTTACTGATTGAGGATATCCATTCTTTGACAATCAGTAAGTAGAAAAATACTCTTACAAGAAATGCACAGGGATGATTTCAGTAAGACATGGTGTCACTTGTGGAAAATTTTAACATATGTTTTTTAGCCTTTAACTTAAAAGTTAAACTTCATTATCTCAAAAACCGATATCTAAATACATGTACCATTTATATGGTGAAGTGAGTTGCTACTCCCAACCCCTTATTCTCTAAGTTTTTTACCCTGCATGGTTATCTGGAGTCATTGGATATCTTGATGTTTAATCTTGGTCCAGTTGAAATTGGGAAAAAATGGTTTTACTGTACTTCTTGGGTTCATTTATTCAAATGTTTTACAAGGGGGGAAAAAGACGCATGTATTTAATTTTTGTAACATGTTAAAATAATCTTTTACATGTACATGTATATTACACATATATTCAAGTAAATTTTTTTAATAAGAATTCATTAAAAATATTTGAATCCATTGAAGTTGATTGCAGTAGATATAATGTGAATTATGAGCCTAAGACACAACAAGCAAATTTAAAGAATAGTGGTCTCATTCTGTCATTTGTCACCTAAAAAAGTTTGATGATAATAGGCCTGAAACTGTTCAAAATATGCCTCTAAATCATTTTGAAAAAGAATGGCTGCAAAATTTAAAAAGTAGGTAACCATGAACTACTTTTGAGTCAACATGATACGAGGTCCTTAGATGCATCAACTGACAAGATTTGATGATCCTAGTCCTTATAGTAAGCAAAATATCAACATTTTAATAAATGTAATTTTTGGTCAACTTTGAAGTGACCTTGAGACCAAGCCCTTTGTCCCAGAGCGATTCCCTGTGCAAATTTTAATCTACAATATATCCTCATCCTTTTGTGAAAGTTTGGTGATAATCTGCCCAGTGGTTCTTGAGAAGACGATTTTTTAGCAACCAGTACTTTTGGTTTTATTTACCTAATTATCTCCCCTTGTTTAAGGGTCACAACCCTAAGTTTACTATAAACGTGAGCCCTTGGGCCATGGATACACTGTGACAAATTTGACAATAATTGGCCAAGGGGTTCTTGAGTTATGGCCCATATTCTATCAACGCTCACCTGAGTTACTTTGGCCCTGCTGTTTTTCACCAGACCCTCCCTCCCTTGCAATACTTATTGCGGCCCCACCCTACCCCCGGGGGGCCATGATTTGAAAAATTAGAATCTACACTATCCCAGGATGATTCCACATATGTTTCAGTTTTTCTGGCCCAGTGGTTCTTGAGAAGAAGATTTTTGAGATTTTGCCTATATATTTTAAACTTTGATTCCCTGTTGTGGCCCCGCCCTACCCCCGGGGGCCATGATTTGAAGAATTTAGAATCTACACTATGCCAGGATGCTTCCACATAAGTTTCAGCTTTTCTGGCCCAGTGGTTCTTGAGAAGAAGATTTTTAAAGATTTTGCCTATATATTTCAATGTAAAACTTTGATTCCTATTGTGGCCCCGCCCCACCCCTGGGGGCCATGATTTGAAGAATTTAGAATCTACACTACCCCAGGATGCTTCCACATAACTTTCAGCTTTTCTGGCCCTGTGGTTCTTGAGAAGATTTTTTAATGACCCCATCCTATTTTTGTCTTCTCTTGATTATCTCCCCTTGTAAAGGGGGTTGGTCCTTCATTTTAACAAACTCCCCTTCACCCAAGGATGCTGTGTACCAACTTTGCTTAAATTTGGCTCAGTGGTTCTTGAGAAGAAGATGAAAATATGAAAAAATTACTTTCAGCTAAGAAGTTTACGTACACCACACAAATGGCCATAGCATTAGCTCTTTGAGCCTTTGGCTCACAAGAGCTAAAAAGATAAAAAAAGAATTATGTATCTTAGAGTTATCTATTTGTAATCAAAGCTATATTAAAATCAGACCAATTTCTTGAAATAAAAAATTGCACTGTTGTAGTGCAAAAAAATTAATGATATTTTACATGTCGCTACAATATTCAAAGAGGGCATGTTGCAAAATTTTGAATTAAATTAGAGGGGTTATGACTGTTTCTTCGCTAATTATAGATGATCAATGCGAAAACACATAGTTGAAAATTGCAATGTCATTGAAAGTCTTGGAGAACACCGAGCTATTAAAAAATTATTTCTTCAGACAGGTCATTTTTCAAAGTGCACAGTAAATTTTCCTTAAATCAATGTGTCCGCAAACTTTTCTAACAATCCTCGTTCATGTACATGCCCTTAGCACTGAAGTCATTTGAAATATGCACATATGTCAACATTTGTTGTTGTATATGCCAAAATAGCAGTTCTCTCTAAATTTTTTTGTAAAAATACATATATTACAAGTTCTTAATGTATTAAGGCCTGATGTGTCCATAATCCTAGATGGAAGGACTTTTATCCTTGTGTGACTGTTTAAATTTCACTATGCTGCTTATTCTTCGTCATCTCCAAACAGATGCTCTTCTGGCAAAT